GTGGAGCATAAAAACTGGGACGAGATCTTGCCGTATGTCACGTTCGCCTATAACACGGCTTATCAAGAAACAACAAGAACAACGCCATTCCGCCTTCTTCATGGTCGTGAAGTCACCACTATGCTGGATGCTATGCTGCCGCACGAGTGCGAAGACGCTGAAACGGATGCTGATTATATCACTCAGCTGGCCGAAGAAGCCCGACAACTTGCACGCCTACGTATTAGTCGCCAGCAGGACTACGATTCAAGAGGGTACAACCTTCGTCACCGACCAGTCTCCTACGAGCCAGGAGAGAAAGTTTGGATATGGACACCTATTCGGCGCCGTGGCCTCTCAGAAAAACTGTTAAGACGGTACTTCGGTCCCTATAAAGTTCTGCGACGTCTCAGTGACATTAATTATGAGGTTGTTCCTGATACTGCGCAGTCTTCAAGGCGTCGAAGGTATGCTCCAGAAGTTGTGCACGTGGTACGCATGAAGCCTTATTTCTCCGAATGAACTCATGCGTTTCCAACGAGTACAAACCGCTTTAGTTATAAAGCATCGGGACGATGCTTTCTTGAATGGGAGGCTGATGTCACGGCTAAAGGCCGGGCAAGAAGACAGAGGACGATGAAGTGATGAGCGTGGACAGCACCCACGCTTCCTCCGAGGAAGAAGAAGTCGAAGTGGCTGCTCTTTTGTTCTGTTAATACAGACCTCGTTTTTTCTGGTCGCACCGTCGTCCTGTATTCTGTTATTTTCACCTAGCGACAATATGTTCTTCCAGGTTGCTCTAAAATGAACACAATGGCATATTTTTGTTTATACGCAAGGGGGAAAAAAAGGGCATTGATAATATAAAATAGTACAGTCGACTCCCGGTAATTCGAAGTCGCTTAATTGGAAGTTTCGGTTAATTAGAAATGAGCAAGTGGTCCCATCAGTTTTGCATGCAATCGTATAGAAAAAAATGCTCGATAATTCGAAGTTAAAAACCCATAATATTGGTTAATTAGAAGTTTTTTCAATCGACAGTCTCGTCGCGACCGTAATTTTACAGTAAAATGGGGAACTTTTCATATGCCAAAACATCTGCCGGACCGCGCTGGTGTCTTCGCCATCACTACTGTCCGCAGCGCCACAGATCTTGAAGCGGCAATCTTTTTAACGCTGGCGAATCGCATCGGCGACATCGACTGACTCTTTAGTTGACTTTTGTCGAGACCCCGCGCTGGGTTGATTCCACACGTGTTTCCGCGCTTCTGATTTTGAGTGTTGTGGTGGTGACGTACGTTTGATAATGGCAACTTGTGGCCCTTTGATGGCAAGCGACCCGGGCTTCACGAAGTGCTTGCAAAAGTACGGAAGGAGGTCTGGTTCGTTCTCCAACGAGAGTGGCAGCGCCTAGGTGCAAAGAAGTTTTATGAGACATGGCACCGTCCGGCAGTGATTTTCAGTGAGGCAGGAGGGCAGATAACCATCAACTTTTAATGATGGCTTTCTCTAAGGCTCCACGACTAGGCCTAGTGAGCCAGTCGCCCCCAAGTTTGGTCTGTATGTTCTTTCACCCGAGCCTTGCATGTGCTAAGGTGATCCTGTCGCCTTGTTGGGCTTTCCCCGCAAGGTTCGTGTTGGCCCCTCCCGCAGGCTCGGCGACTCTAGTCGTCGAGGCAGAAGATCGCACCCTTCCTCGAGAAGGACTAAGCCGGCCTTCAGCCGTGCCGGTTTCCGTGGGTACGTTTGGTTTGCGTGCAGCGGCACTGGCCTCTGCACCAAATAGTAGTCCCGTAGACCCCACAGGACGGATTGTGTCTCACTGCGCCCTTGTGGTGAGGAGACGGGCCATGACCTTAAAGCGCCTCGCGCCGAGCGATAGCCCATCCGCCCTGAGGGGGTGTCGTCGCAGGCTCTCAGCCGTGCGACAGTGTGAGGGCATGGGCACTTTGGTTGGGGTGACTGAAGTTGGTTGTGGTGACTGAAGTGGTGACCGAGGGCTGTGGTGGCGAGAGCTACCGTGCCGAAGGGTAGCCCCTGTGTCAAGTCTCGCTGGGCCCTAGCGGTCAGGAGACGGGCCATGACCGCAGCGCACCCCACGCGCTGCGATAGCCCACCTTGCCAGGGTACGTTCACTTTGCGCGTTGCGACTGAAGTTGCCTCGCCGGAGGGTAGTCCCTTTGTCGGGCCTCCCCGGCTTGTACGCCGGGAGGCAGGCCGCGTCTGTTTGGTGCCTGGCGCCGAACGGTGGCCCCCTTGCCAGGGCATGGCCGTCTGCCCGAAACAAATCTTCCCCCCACACAACCCTGGGGGGAGGTGGTGCCGGGACAGACGTAGGATGATGATGGGTTGATGAGTTAAGTGTGACTCTGGGACAAAGCGTTTCGGCGCCGCGTCTCCTTCCTATCTGACAACGGCACCGAACGCTAGACCTAGCGACGAAAGTCGAAGTCTTGAAGGAAGTTGACCAGGGAGGCACCGCCAAACAAGACATTGCAAGAAAGTACGGCATTAAGCCTAACACGCTGTCGACTTTCATAAAGAATAAGCGCTCAATATTGGATGCGTTTGAAAGTGAAAAATTCAAGACATCGCGGAAGCGGATGCGCACCGGCGCCTACCCCGAGTTGGAGGAAGCACTGCTGATTTGGATCAGAGAGGCACGAAACAACAAACTTCCTCTCAGTGGTGAAGTCGTCACGGCAAAAGCGTCATCGCTTGCTGAAATGTTGGGCATCAACGACTTCGCTGCTTCGGATGGGTGGCTTACGGGTTTCAAACATCGCCACGACTTGATTTTTAAAAGCGCGTGTGGGGAGAAGGCGTCAGTCGATGAGGAAACGTGCCTGACATGGAAAGCGGGCAAGCTTCGCGAGTACCTCGAAGAATACCAGCCGGCAGACATTTTTAATGCAGACGAGACTGCGCTTTTTTATCGGCTGCTACCGGACAAGACCCTGACATTTAAAGACGACGACTGTTCTGGAGGCAAAAGAAGCAAAGAGAGAGTGTCAGTGCTAGTCGCGGCGAACATGACTGGCACAGAACGGTGTCGCCTGCTTGTGATCGGGAAGGCTGCCAAGCCTAGGTGCTTTAAAGGCGTGAAGACGCTTCCTGTGGATTATGCCTCGAACAGAAAGGCGTGAATGACATCCGATATATTTAAGGACTGGATCACCAAACTCGACCGCAAGTTCGCGCAATCAAGCCGTAAGGTGTTGTTCCTTGTGGACCAATGTAGTGCACACATGAACATACCTGCCTTGAGTGCCATCCGTCTTGTGTACCTGCCTGCAAACACGACGTCCGTGTTGCAGCCCATGGACCAGGGCATAATAAAAAATGTGAAGGTATTGTATAGGCAGCATCTCGTCGAGCGCATGCTTTTGTGCATGGACAACTCGTCGCAATACGAGGTGAGTTTGCTTAGTGCCATCAACATGCTAGCGCGAGCTTGGACCCGCGTGAAAGAAGAAACCATCGCCAATTGTTTCCGGGCCTGTGGTTTCATGGAAAACTCGGGGTATGCTTCTCCTTGTGCGCCAGTGGAAGTGCAAACAAATGAGCTCGACGACGGTAGCTTTCGCGCCGCTCTCGGTGACGTCCGTTTTGACGAGTATGTCGCTGTGGACAGCAACGTCGAAACATGCGGTCCTCGAACGGACAGCGAAATCGTGCAGATGGTTCGGCCCCATGACTGCATTTCTGAAAATGACGATGATGACGACGACATCGGAAATGAGCCACCACCGAGGGCTGCCGATGTAGCTGCGGGTCTTGCTCTTGCGCAGCGGTTTTTTGTTGGAGAACACAACGCCGAAGAAGCACTTCGACACGTGTATTCCTTACAAAACTTGCTAGCCGCAGCCAGATTCGGCAAGCAGAAGAAGATGACAGACTATTTTTCCTCAAAACTGTCGCGCTTTTAAACTAATAAAAGTGCCGTTTTTAGTGCTTTTTGCTTAATTCGAAGTTCGTTTAATTCGAAGTTTTTTGCGGTTCCCGTGAACTTCGTATTAACGGGAGTCGACTGTATCTGAATATGGAAGAAAAAGCAAAAGATGTGAAATACGATTGGGTGTGAAGCCATCCTGAAAAAAGTACACTTGCAAAAGAAATACCCTTATTTATAGAGGGTGCTGTCGCTGTGATGCTGTGGTTATGGCGCTCTGCTGTTGCCCCTTAAGACACAGGTTAGATGCCAGCTGTGACACTTGGGTACATTTCAATGGAGGTGAAATGGTAGGTGGCCAAATTTATTTGAAGCCCTTGACTATGGCGTGTACCCCATAACCATATTGTGAATTTGGTATATAATATTTCAGGAATTATTACTATCTACGCTAGGAAGGCTTGAAGGAGTGAATGCTATTGTTGATAAGGTGGAAAAGGCTACATAATGAGCACACCATAGGAATGGTAAAATGTTTGTGCTGTACGAATAGCAACTTTTTGGGTATGAAGCGAATTTGTATATTAGAGTGAGAATTGAATAGTTTCAGAATATTTCTCAAATATTTTTTTGAATACCTTAAAGTGATATTTCAGGAAATATGGCAGAGTATCCCTAAGCATATACTTGCGAGATAGCACAGGTTGGTGAAGCGCTGGAGGGGTGGGGTTACCTAGTTGTCAAGAGGGAGGTGCAATGCAGAGGCCGAATGGTCTTTATTCACATGAATTGGTGCAACCCATGTGTTTTCAACACTTAACGCATGAAAGGAAAAAGATGCTATTTCCTCAACCTCTTTTCCTCCTCTAACTTTTTCACCTAAATTGTGGCAATGGTGTATTGCGTATAAAAGCAGTTAGTGTCTCTACATCAAAACAAGAGTTGATAAGAAAATGAGATCAGGGTACCCTGCCTAAAGAGACATTTCGTGTATGTAAGGCACAAGAACTGCACCCCAGCATGTTGTCTCTTATAAAAGGGTTCAACTAAAGGGGTTAGCCTTTAGTGTCCCTTTAAGGTAAAGGCTAGGGTTAGGATTGGCCACTTATGATGACTGTGTGCCTTCTAGGCTGCCCCTGCACTACAGCGCTGGGGGTGGGTCCGAGCAGCAGCAGCAGGGAGGTGGCTGCCTGAGTGCCCTGCTTGCACACGGCTCGGACGTGGACCGAGCGGACGTCGATGGGCGCACACCTTTGCTGGTGGCATCCGCTTCTGGCGACTCTGAAGGGCGCTCCTTGACCCTTCTGCTCGAGCATGGAGCCCAGCCTGCGACGCAGGACAACAGGGGCTTTGGTGCCCTGCACCACCTCGCCGCTGCTGGGCATTTGGCCCCGCTCACAACTGTGAGTGGCCTCCATGTGCATTTTATTTGTTGAAAAGGGGCACCATAGTGAAACAATAAGTTAGTTTAGATTGGTAAATTAAATCTTAAAAAATGTAGTCTCATTCTTACTTCCAAAGTCGCACCTCTCGGGGCTCCTAATAAAGTTTCACCATCCATCCGTTAATTTCACGTGTCTGCTAATACATGAGAAAAATCAGTGTTAAAAGTCTTACTTTTAAAAATCTCGGGTGGTGGCTTCATGAATTTCAAGGTGTTTATTCATATTTTGTCAATATGGACTCTACAAAGTTTTCTGAAACTTGGTATTTTAAGTCCCTGGCTCCATCAGAAGACTCAATTTTGAACTAGGCAGCCTTGTTGAATTAGAGCCACAATGGTGCTGTGTCAGCCTGTAGACTGTGTTAGGCTATGCAATCAAACCCTCTATCTTCTAACAGCCACATAGGGCTTTTTAAGCATTTTTGTGAGACATTTCCAGTTTAAACATAGCTCTTATTTTCATTGTCATAAAGGTAGCGGAACAGCATTTAACAGAACTAAAAATGACGAGAACTTCCATTTCTTTTTTTATAAAAGACTTGCATTTTTCAAGTAGCTCTTCCTATTTGACCCAACCACCTTTTGTGTGGCACTGCTGCTACAGCTACATCAGTAAATTTTCCAGCTTTGTGACTACTGTATGTACTGAGTTTTTCGGAACCCTTTTGGTAAACATCATGTGCTTCTTGCAGCTTTTATCTGTGATGAACACTGAAGAAGTCAGAAGAACAAAGTCTCGCAATGGACTAACACCTCTTCATCTTGCGGTAAGCTGGGAATTTATCATCAAACACAGTCAAACATTGTTACAACAAAACAGGCTATGACAAAGTATTAGATATAACAATGTAATTGAATTCATCTTGAAGTTCTTAGAGAGATCAATGTTTTTGAGACCTCATTTATAGGTACTTCAGTCATTGATTCTACATTGAACGAGGCCTCACCAAGAGACCTAGAGGGTTAATGTTCCTACAGAGTTAAATTGGTAAACTGAAAAGTCACCATAATGTTGCACAATGTTTATTCACTAGTAATGCACCCGCATCCCCTTGGTTATCCAATTGGCTGTGTTAGGTGGCCTGTAAAAGGAAGGCTTATACTTGAGGCAGGTTGAATTCAGTCAGAGGTTAGAGTCATCATACTACCCCATTACAAAAAATAGCATAGGAAAGGCCCAGAAAGATGCTGTCTACAAAAATCTGTGGCACAGATCGCGTTATATTGATGTTTCTTTACATCAGGCTTTGGGTGGACACAGCGACTGCCTCCAAGCATTGCTGTCTGTCGGATGCCTAGCAGACGTGTTGGAATCCACTGAAGAAGAGCAGGGCTGGAGTGCACTGGCCCTGAGTGCCCTGTTGGGGCAGACTGCCTGCCTGCGCCACTTGCTGCTTCACGGAGCCCAGCCGCTAGGAAGCAACCCTCGCACTGGGGCGACCCCAGTGCATGCCGCTGGTGAGAAGTGCAACTTCGAGTCCACCTTGAAACGTAATGCAGGGTGCTTTTAAGGGGGAACATGGGTCCTAGGGCTCTCTCATTTATTTTTGAACCAAATTTGACAAAAGTTGGCATGCTTACTTAGTTTGTTCTCCTGATTCTAAAAATGTAGTTATTTTTTCTGTAGCTTCATTAGTTAATCAAATAATCAAGATAACAATTTTTATTGTTCTTAACACAATAGAAAAATAACCACCAGTCAAAAATTTATAAATGACATAGGAATTGACAGTATAAAGCATAAGACATACAACATAGAAAGCACTTTTTTGATTGGGTCATTATTTCTTACTTTACAGTACACTAAATTTCACAGCTCTGAATGTGGCCATTGTGTGGTGACACAAAAGACTTGTTTTAAAAACTTGCATCAAGAGAAATCGAAATCTGCTTCCTATGTTGTGTGCTCCAAACATATAGCTTCAGGCTGCAAAAAAAAAATATTCTGCTATCTGTAATATATCCCGATATATTGCAGTAATTTTCATGCAGGATGTACAAAATTTCCATTTTAAGAAAATGAAGGAAACAAAGAATTCTCACATTTTTAACTGTAAAAATGTATGTACTTAGAATTACATAGCCATTGACATACATATGAATGCTAGAAAGCCTAAGGAGTGCAACGCTGCAAGCTGATAGAAAATTGAACCAGTACTTCTCGAATTACAGCACAGTAAAGTTCATTGCATGTAACCAAATACAGAAATTTTTATATTAAAATAAAAAAATGAAGCTGCCCTTAAAAAATAGGCTCCCAGCATTATTCTTTTGTGCACATTTAGCTAGATTGTGCAAAAACAATTACAGCTCTAGCTGTCCTAGATCCACTTTTACCGAACAAGCAAAAGAAAGTGGTCAAAATCTGTGCTTTGAGAATAATGCTGTTAAAACTTTATTTCGCCGTTCCGAGGGAAAAATATAATGGCACACATGCTTTCAGTCAGTTAATATGCACCGGGAATGTAATAGGACTGACTGTTTGCACGAGCATGTCGTTTCTTCTAGTCCTGTAGCAAGTTGTCGCCGTGTGCTTGTCTGCCGCAAGGCCACTTATCAGTTCGGTGACTGTACTGACGGCGATGTGCGACATATGTACGTGCGTCATCCGCAATCCGTCTAATAACACGACGATGTTTTCCGGCTTGTCCAGAATGAGTAACCCTAAAGGTCGCGAACCAAAGTTGTTCCCTCGCTCATCAATTTCGAGGCTGCACGAGTGCTGAGGTGTTAGTTTCCTTTTCACGTAAGACTGGCACATTTTCGAGCGGAGATTGCGACAACTTTGCGAACACGTCGTTAAAAGCAGTCTACCTGTTGCCAGTAGCCTCCATTGCGGGGGCGGCGAGCATGTTCATCGCGAACGGATTGACTTTCTCTTGTTCGTGGACGCGCAACGTACTCCACTCTGACACCCGTCGCGCATCGACGTCATTCGACGTCAATCCCAGACTTCCGAACCATTCTCCTTATGGTTCGGAAGTCTGGGATTGACGTTGAAAGCTGTGGGAGTGGCTTGGTTCCTCTGAGCAGGATCCACAGAATCGGTGAGGGCGAAAGCACTGGTGGCATCCACAATTTCTTCGATGTATGCGACCGTTGTTCCTTTGTTCACATGTTTGTACTCATTGCTTAAATTCGTGAGCATAACCGTTGCTTTGCCTTCCCGCAGCTCTGCAATTCCTCTTACGACGCAAATATTTCGGGTGACCAACAGATAGATGCTGACCGCCTTCAACAACGCTTTCCAAGTCAGGTGATTTAGGAGCGCCGGCTGAAATAATGACGCTGGAGCGAGGCGGAATGGTGACCTGTTCTTCCAGCACATTCAAGGCATGGTTTCCTGACGGCGTGCGCGACGGTAGTGCTTCTTCTGTGGATAACGTTATCGACTTTGTTCTTAGGTTGATGACAGCCCCATGGAGGCATAAGAAGTCCATACCAAGGATGATATCTCTCGAGCAACTGCTGTAGGACTATGAAGCTGTAAGATAAATACGGCCGTTAATGGTGACTCTCGCTGTGCAGATTCCTGTAGGCGTTACGAGATGACCTTCGGCTGTGCGGATTTTAGGGCCTTCCCAAGCTGTCCTAACTTTCTTTAACTTCGTGGCGAACGACCCACTGATGACGAAATAGTCGGCTCCAGTATCGGCGAGAGCGGTCACACTGTGGCCGTCGATAAGAACGTCGAGGTCGCTAGTTCGCCGTCTCGTATTACAGTTAGGGCGTGGCATCGGGTCACGGCTGCGTCGGCTTGTTCCGCTGCTTCCATGTTGCATCGTCAGGCCACCTTCGGTAAGTGAGCTTTCGCCGTCAGGGCTTTGCCGAGGTTGGCGTTGTGTTCGGAAAGCTCCGCCGCGTCGTCGTCGTCGGAGGAGGATCTTCGGTAGTTCATCGCACAGCAACCGCACCTCCATCGGTTGCTGCCCTTAGTTTCCCGGATACGCGCTAGGAGACCGGCCCCGCGTTGGGCCAGAGTACTGCCGGTGGTGCGGCGGCTGGGCGACAGCAAACGGGAAGGACTTCGTGGTGTCCATTGAGTTCATGTCAGGTAGTCGGCGATGTCACGTTGCCGTTTTCCTGGCTGCGGACGTGGTGCATTGACGGCGAAGCCACGCAGTCCCATCTGTCGGTACTGGCAACGGCGGTATGTGTGTCCGGCCTCGCCGCAGTGGTTAGCAGAGCGGGCGGTGGTCAGGGGTGCGCCAGACGTCAGTCTTCCTCGGCGCACTGCGCTGGGGCGCTGGCGAACGGTAGGACGTCGGTGGGTGTGGTGGCGGCGGTGGCGTCTGGCGACGGAAGTGCGATGGGGCAGCGTTTTTGTGTGCGCATGAAGGAGGGGCGTGGCGGCGGGCTGCAGCAGCATAGCTCATGGCTTGCAGCTGAGGCTCTTGAGACTGAGGAACGCCCAGCGATTGGTGGATCTCCTGGCGTACGACGTCCGCGATGGATTCCACATGAGGCTAGCGCTGAAGGAAGAAATTTTCGCAGCTCTTCTTGCACGATCGCTCGGATCATCTCACGCAAGTCAGTGGTTCCAAGCCCTTGAATGCCGGCATAGCTTGTAGACGAGAAGCTACGGTTATATTGCCGCGTGCGCATCTCGAGCGTCTTCTCTATCGTAGAAGCTTCTGAAATGAATTCGGCGACCGTCTTTGGCGGGTTTCTGATCAGCCCGATGAAGAGTTCCTGCTTTAGTCCTCGCATGAGCAGACGGACCTTCTTCTCCTCGGATATGTCGTAGTCAGCTGTGGCGGAAAAGTTTTATCATGTCTTCCGTGAATAGCGCCACGTTTTCGTTTGGCATCTGCATGCGGGTTTCGAGAAGAGCTGCAACCTTCTCCTTGCGCACCACACTTGCGAAAGTGATGAGGAACCTGGCGCGAAAGACGTCCCACGTTGTAAGGCTTCGCTCTTGATTCTCGAACCAGGTCCGAGCAGCATCTTCTAAGGTGAAATACACATGCCGGAGCTTGTCATCGTCTGTCCAGTCATTGAAGGCGGCGACGCGGTCGAACCTTTCGATCCAGTTTCCGGGTCTTCCAGTGGCGAACCGCTGAAAGTTGGCGGCTCTTTGGGTTGTTGGAGCAGGAGTGGTGCAGGCTGCACGGGGGCGGTCATGGTTGCAGTAGTTGATGCCGGGATCTGGGTCTGCCTGGCTGCTTCAGGAAGGGGCCCGTACTCTGGTTGTAGTCCCCTCTGCCGGCGGCTTGTTCACTGCTCAGGGTAGCGCCCGTGTCTTCTTGGCCGCTTGGGCTGGGGTCGCGGCTTGAAGGGGGCGTCCGGAACATCACAGAAGCAGCACCTCCACCAGATGTCACGGGGTCGTGACGTGGCCGAAGACAGGAGACTTTGTGTTGGAATTTAACTGTTTATTTGGGCCAACCTGTGCCCAGTAAACGGAAAATCCGATTTCAGTAGCAGTCTTGGACTGATAGCGGCGAACGGAGCGTCGGCCGTCGATCAACTACTCACAAGCGGCGAAGTGCGTCGGCATTTACACTCTTGCCATTGAATGTTCTAGCGTTATCGCTGGCGGTGGCGTAGGTTTCAGAATAATCTGTACAGTTCGCAGAGTGGGCATGATCTTATCGAAATGATCTACTAAAATCCGGAAGCTTCTCGAAAACTGCAGGCGCGGTTTGTGCTGAGAATTGTTTAGTGTTTTGGGGCGATAACAAAACTCGAGAAATAGAACTGTGGCAATATAATTGCTATCGCACTAAAAAGGGGTCAGCAAAAGAATGTAGTAGTGAGCAAAGCTTTGACCCATGCTTTTGCGGCAGCCAGCTGTGCAGTCCCGTCCGTTCACGTGTGTCCCAGAAAGACATACACTAGTTGTTCTGAAGGAAATAAATTCTGCTAGTTGTGTTGATCTTTTGAGACTCTCACCTTAGTGGGAAACCCTGCCTCTGTGTTTTCGGCCACTCCAAACCATTATAAGACCGCAGCGCTGATGTTGGCACTTGCAATTTAGACCCCCCACCCCACCCTCTATTGTTTTTCGTGATGTTTTTTTTTTGTTCTTTGTGTTTTTTTTTTATGCCGATAAAAAATGGGGCAAATAATTCAGCCCTATACACGGGTTCTTACAGTAGTATGCATGCAACTCTTTGTACAAAAAGGTGGTTTCACTACAATGGAGAGGTGCGAAGCTATGAAAACACCTATTTAAGTGTCAATACGTCGAATGTAACTTTCTGTGAAGGTGGTTTCACTGCAGTGAAGGGCTGCTAAACCATCAAATCATTTAAATGGGGAAAAGATTGCACTGCAGCGAACCTCCATTTTAAGGTTAAATGAGCACATTATCCTCAGATATATTTGTCATTTTTAAAGTGTAAAATCTGTTAAATCGGCTTGTATGCTCTAAGTATCGGTAATTTTATTATGCAAATATTTTACAGGTTATTACTTGTATTATATTGAAAATAAAACCCTGGTGTTATTCAAAGTTTTTCTCCTTCCTTTGAGCCAAGAAGAATGGCAATTTGCACAGGCCTTGTTTCAGTTTTAAAAATATTGTGCAGGTTAGTTGGGTCATGACAAATACCGTATTTACTCGAATCTAACGCGCACCTTTTTTCCGGTTAAGCGAGTTCATAAATCGCATGCGCGTTAGAATCGAGTACGAACAAAAAAATTACGGTCAATCTATTGCCATCGCAAATCCAAAATGGCCGCCCCCTACGTGCGTCGGCATGGTGCGTCGGCTATTTCTGCCTATGTGTTTACCATGTGCGGCACTTCGTACGTGTGCTGACGAGTTCGTCATCTAGTAGTGCATTAGCATCGACGACGTGGAAGGGCCGACTCCAAAAACTCGAGTGCACCACGATGCCGCTTTTAAAAGAAAAGTCATCGCGTGTGCAGAAACGGACAGAAGTCGGGCCGCATCGCGGTCGTTCCCGAAACGTGCGTGCGGGACCGGCGGAAACAAAAGCAGAAGATTGTCGACAGCAAAGCTTCACGCAAAGGCTTCAGTGAACCACAGCAGGGTCGGTTTCCGCAAATTGAAGAGCTGCTCCGCGAGTATGTGCTTGAGGAGCGAGCGGCACAGCGGCCCGTGACGACAGAACTGCTCCAAGTGCGGGCTGTGCAATTAGTCTTAGAAAAAAGTCTAATGCGGAGCCAGTTTAAAGCGAGCAGGTGCTGGCTAATTAACTATATGAAGAGGAAAGGCTCTTCCCTCCGAAGGGGAACATGCATATGCGAAAACTTTTGCGGAGAAGTACGATGAAAAGCTTTACAGTTTTCAGAGGTTCGTCCTAAACTTGCGGTGCAACAACGGCTACCCGCTTGGGCAAATCTGGAATGCCGATCAGACGCCTCTTTACTTCGACATGTCTGGCACCACAACTGTCGAGAAGAAGGGGGCGAAGCAAGTTCGCGTGCTGACATCGGTCCACGGTAAAACTACAGTGACGGCAATGCTCTGTTACACGTCAGATGGGCAGTAGCTTTGCCCGTACCTCATATTTAAATGGAAGATAATCCCGAAAGGAATTGTTTTTTCGAGTGGTTTGATCGTGCGGGCCAGCAAAAAAAAAAAATGGGTGCGCGTTGCAATCGATGTCTTACGTTTTTTTTTTTTTTTTCGCGCTGGAAATCGGGTGCGCGTTACAATCGAGGGCGCGGTAGAATCGAGTAAATACGGTATGCCCATTTTTTATTGATAATATGGGATATATACTAGTATGTTTGAATTCATTTCAATTCAAAATTATTTGACCAAAATCACTGTTCGCTTCAAATTCACTTCGAACCTGAAATTCACTATTCGGACAGTCTTCCTCAAGAAGCAAAGCACTGTCTGTAGCCAGTGTTCCAGACAATTTTTTACCAACATGATGTGAGATGCATCGTATAGTGTTACAATAGATGTTCGTAGAACAGAAATACCCTTTGCAATACTGTTGTTAAACTGATATGTGTGAGAATGGTGCTTTGGCAGCGTATTCGAAATAGAGTTTGTACAACTGAAAAGTTTGTTTAATTTACATTCGTTCAAGCGGTATTTTACTGTAGTGCTTCAGGTGAACCGTGTGCGAATCAAAGGTGATGTATGTTAGAATTAACAGCTCAACGACCAAGTTTCAGCTTGTAGAGCTGCGGTGATGTCCAGATCTGAAACGAGAAAACGAAGAGAGCAAGTAGTGGATATTGTACTGTGCAATCTACTGAGGACAGCAAAAGTATCATACTTACTTTCATAATTTGTGCACACTTTTCACAATATCGGAGCTCCGAAAAAGGGTTTGCGAATTGCGTGAAGATAGTGCGAATGCATCCAAATATATAGGGAGTTGTTGCAGACTTTTGTCCAAAACTGAACGATAGTCCGCAACAGGTTAGTGTAAAATGCAAACGCAGTGGCATGAAACACTAACGCAAAGCTTTGTGTGTGCTATTTTAAAACTCGCTAATTTTGAAATATGTAGTATGTAGTCGTAACTTAGTGTAAGATGCAAGCGCAGTGGCATGAAACACTCACACAAAGCTTTGCGTAAGCTATTTTAAAACTCCTTAATGTGAAATAGTATGCAGTCGTAACTTCTGTGGTATATACAGTAAAAAAAAAGAAAAACAATTGGAGCACAAATGAAGTGAACTTTTTTATTTAACAGAATTAGCACATACTTTAACCAGCCAGACCCAGTCATGCACAGTCTAGTCGAATTCACTGGCCGAGAAGTCCGATTAGGAATCATTGTCGTGGCCACTGTCACCGCCCTCCCAATGCACGTCGTCCTCGGTTCCGTCAAGCTCATTCGAATGCCCCGTTGTTTTGGAGCTTTTCTTGACTAACAGGGAGAAACCAGGTCCCATGACATTGTGATAGTGGAGGACCAAAGCTTTCACATATAATTGAAAAGGTCTTCTTCAACAGCAGGAAACTTGCATTAGCAAGCACACACTCTTCTGCTTTCTCCCACACTGAATGTCACACGTTGAAGAACTTTGCACTAAAGTTCATGCTGGCGGCATGGTTCCCGCTTTCTCCGAGGAACTTGATAAAAGATAACTTGAATTTCACTGTATATATAATCATTGTACCCCATCGCACGGGGAAAAACCTGTTGTGTGATGGACGAATGGCGAAACTTCCGATATAAATCAAGCGGGCATTGTAGCGTGAATACAGAAAACAAGGGGTACAGTTGACCTAACAGGCCCTCGCACGCCTCTGATGCAGGAATAGTTCGTGCCATGCAGCAAGCGTGTATTCTGGGAAGCGTATTCCAAGTGTGTATTCCAGGCATTGTTCTTTTTAGGCTTTTGCAGTTGCTTCTTAGCGGTCTCTTGTGTCGCGCATATCTGATAAGTCAAGCAGCTGCACTCGAATTGAGCCAAGGCATCTTCGACCTTCTAAATGTTTGTTGCAGTGAATGCAACAATTAGTGTGTCCTGCTTAAATCTCATGCAATCAGCGACCTACTTGCTCATGAGTCCTGTTAACCGACAGCATTGAATATAGTGACAGTCTTATTCTTTACATATCTGGGGCTGCGAGATCTTCACTTAATTTAAAATGGGTCTTGTTGCAGCCGCCTTAGGTCAGACGGAGTGCCTTGAGATCCTTCTCCATGGTGCCAAAGGATCCGATGCCCCCAACGCAAGAGATGCTAGCAACAGGTAAGTGTCTGTGCTCTTTTTAACTGGTGTGAACGCATTGTGAGCCTTTTCGGCTGTTTAGTTCAAAGGTGAGCTCGTACTACAATAAAAGAAGCACGAATATCAACGAGTTGTTGAAGCTCATAAGGAAGCATTAACCATGGTTAAAACAAAATACTACAAGTATTTTGCATCACCATTATCTATGTCCATATGCTTTTATGCCTCCTGCAAAATAGCATTGTGGGTCAGTTGTAGTGTATGTGCTCGATGTGACAGGTATAACAAGCGGTCTTTACGTTTTCGTCTATACCATCTTGTAGTCAGGTATTTGTGGTATGTAGACACTTATACTACTGTATAGGCTGTACAGGGAAAGCAAAGCGAGTGAGAAAGCTGTTATAAATCTTCGTGTTATCAAGTTATCGTCAAGGAGATGGAGTAAGTTTTCGCAAGTTTTCAAAACAGAAAATTCAATCACAGCGGCATCATTTCTGTTATTTACTGGTTTTGGAAACAAATGTAACCAAGCCCCATGGAGCAATAAACAAGAGAGTAAGATACGGTCACGGTTTGCGAGATTAGAAACCAGACAGCCATCAGCTTTGCAGGCAGCTCCGCCACGGTGGTCTAGTGGCTAAGGTACTCGGCTGCTAACCCGCAGGTCGCGGGTTCGAATCTCGGCTGCGGCGGCTGCATTTCCGATAGAGGTGGAAATGTTGTAGGCCCGTGTGCTCAGATTTGGGTGCACGTTAAAGAACCCCAGGGGGTCGAAATTGCCGGAGCCCTCCACTACGGCGTCTCTCATAATCATATGATGGTTTTGGGATGGTAAAACTCCACATATCAATTAATCAAGCTTTGCAGGCACAAGAAGTGATAACCACTCACAGGACAAAACCGAAACCAGCCTTACCACGTGCGCGCACCCAAATGCGGTAACCAAAGCCGGTGCGCCGCTTTGGTTACCGCAAAAAAAAAAATCTCGTATTCTCAAGGTGTGGAAGTGCATGCCAGGCAAGATAATGATCGGAAAAGGCGCATGTTTTAAATATGCAGGCAATACCGTACATGTACGGCATAAACCTTCAAAGGATTTGGTAACCTCTGGTGCCATTCATTATGTTAGTTTCCTGCTAGGCCAACTTAAAATTGCCGTTTGGTAGATAGACATCGATACATGGAATGAATTAGTTGAAACTTTTCTCGGTATTATTTCACGGTTGGTCTTTTTCCTTCTTCTTTATTGTTTATTCATTCAGATATTTAGCTGCCTTTTTAGGGGGTGTGGCTTTTGCGTGAGTCGATGTGGCTCTAGGAAAAGTTTAAATTGAGCAGGAAGATAGAAAAAAGAGATAGGAATCGGCTGCTCTGTACATATATTCCCACGTACCTCTGGCTAGGACTCCTCTGATGCTGGCTGTCTTGAAGGGCCACGCTGACTGTGTGGAGTTACTGCTGAGACACGGTGCTGCTGTAGATGCTGAAGACATGTCCCGCAGGACGGCCCTCTTTTACGGAGTGAGTACATATAAGACTAGCTTTTTTCTGTAGGGCTGTGATTGTGTTGTAGCAGCACAAGGATGCAGTAACTCTGTAGGTGTCTTTTGCCCTTTTTCTTGTAATTTCATTTTGCTATAGTCTTCGTTACCTTATCTCAAAATTGAGCTAATAACATGAACCCTAATTTGATTAGTCACTACTAAGATCAAACAGTCGACATTGTTGTGCGTTCCTAGCAAGCATATTGGGCCTTTAGCCTCTTGGGCCGTCCAGTTGTGGCCATTATCGCCTGTTTGATGTGCACAGCTGCAATTGCTAATCATGTAAAATGGGCCATAGCATACTCCTCCCCACCCTCCCAGTGTTACATGTTCCATTGAACTGTGATAAGTACCAAGTGATCAATGTGGCTGCTTATGGATTGAGAGAGTGCCACCTGCATTACGCTAAGATTACCCTGGCAGTAAAGAACTGAACAAATGAGTGCTGTCAGTGAATGGCTGCACTGAGTGTACAGCTGTGCATATTGTTGGGTTCCCTTGGTGAGAAATTGGGTCTTGAGTTGTCTCTCTTCCTCTCACTTTGTGTCTCATGCAGGCTTTTGGGGGCAGTGAGGAATGCATGGGCATGCTATTGAAAGAAGGTGCGACTGTCCTCTTGCGTGACAACATGGGCAAGACCCCCATGCACCTGGCAGCAGCTGTGGGCAATGGTGCTGTCCTGTCAATGCTGCTGCGCCACAGCCCCGAAGGGGAGGGCGCCGACCGTCTTGTTGATCTTCAGGGTTTTACTCCAATCCACTGGGCATGCTACGGAGGTGAGAATGGCTTAGACGTCCGAGAAGTAGGTTGGAAGGACCCAAGTACAAATGTATTCGATGACAGCATTTTGCTTTCCTTAGAGGAGGAACAAGGAGAAAGAAGGAAACGTATGTAGAACGGAAGCTTTGATTTCACTCATCATTTGCGCTTTCAGAAATGCATGTTTGCTTTGAAAAGATCATTAGTAGGCTTGTGCGAATATTCGAGCACTTCGAATATTTGAACGAATATTGTAGTATTGGAATGCACTTTGAAATGACTTTAATATATTGAAAATTTAAAAGTATTCAAAAATGAATGAATAGACCTCTTCCTGTTTGCAAACAGTGTGACATCACTGCCAGTACTCACCTACAATGTCCTCCTTCGGAGCAGGTGTTGGTTAGCAAAAAAAAAAAAAAATTCTGCCGGCGGAATTTTTCGCATAGCAGCACTGCGTGTGTCGGCATTCCTTCGACAGAGGTGTCTGGTAATTCCTATGTTATGAAGTCACAGCTTTTAAAATGAAGAACCACTTGATTCTGCTAGGTCAACATGTGGCGATTTAGTCGTCATAGATGGCCACCTTAAGAAAATCTTATGTTTTTTAAAGCGAACGTTGTGCATGTTCATGGTGACTGGCCCTTTGTGAAATATTTGCATGGCATGGATGTCAACGTACTCAATTTCTGTTGTGACATGTGCACTGCAGTTTTAAACAAGGTACAGCGTTGGTGCCAACATGGTTTCGAGCTGCTGTGCACGAGGTCATGGATAACATTCTCACTTATGACACAAAGTTCTTATTGGAGATGAATAAACGGGGGGGGGGGAGCAAGAGATAGAAACACTTCTTGTCGTGCATTAGGATGTGATTAACAAATTTCCATGAAAATTAGAGCAAAGTTCTCCCATACTGCATTCCTCATAATCCACTGAAAATTTATGCCATCGCAAAATTGATAACATGATTATGTGCATCATGTTTTGTTTGCGTTGGTTCCACACAACCTATGGTTCCACAGAACCTAGGTGTTCTGAGTTTCACAGATAAATTTTTTTCTCGTTCCACACTCGGCAATAGACGAGGACTTCAGTGTGGCAGAGGTGAGGGCGATACTACACAAGCTCAACACGAAATCGGCAGCAGGCCCGGACTGGATAACAAACAAAACACTGCGTAACTTGGACGATGAGTCGATAGAACAATTGACAGCTTATATGAACAAAATAGAAAGTTGGGCGAGTTGGTGTATATTCATATTAAAAGAAAAGCGGCGCACAAAAAGACGGAGACAAAGAAGAGAACCACACACAGCGCTGTGTGTGGTTCCCGTCTTTTTGTGCGCCGCTTTTCTTTTAATATGATTATATGAACAAATGCTGAAGCTCAGGCGTTATACCCAGTTTGTGGGAAACGGCACGCATAATTATGATCCCAAAACCGGGCAAACGGGTAGAGATTGACAATCTTCGACCAATATTTCTGGCTTCCTGCATTGGTAAGGTCATGGAACACGGGGTTCTCGCTCGTCTTACAAATTAACTCGAGGACCGAAACATGCTCCCGCACACGATGTCGGGGTTCCGTCGTAACCTTTCCACGCAGGACATTATGGTTCAACTCAAGCGCCATATCATAGACAATACCACGCGATCTACAAAAGCGATACTCGGGCTTGACCTCAAGAAGGCGTTTGACGTTAAACACACCTCAATACTTGAAAGCACACGAACGTTGGGACTGGGCGAGAGAACGTACCACTACGTACGAGATTTCCTTACAGGTCGCCGGGCCTGCTTAGCGATCGGTGAACTAGAATTGCAAGATATAGACATGGGTTGCACGGGCACGCCACAGGGCTCCGTAATTTCACCCATGCTTTTTAACCTCGTGCTTGTCGGGCTACCACGAAAATTAGCTTTGATAGAAGGCCTCCACCACAGCTTGTACGCCGGTGATATCACCCTCTGGGTTGCCGAGAGAAATGATGGTGAGATCGAGCAAACGTTTCAGGAGGCGGTCGACGTGGTACAGGACTACTTTCACGACACGGGCCTCGAATGTTCCGCGGCTAAATCGGAGCTCCTTCTCTATAGACCCACGTGCAGGGGTCGTAAATCTAAGAACAACGATTCTTCCAGCAAGCGTGCAGACAGAGATATTAAGGGGAGAAGCGGGTTTTTGAGACCGAAAATCGCCAAAAAGTAAGATTTTTAAAAATGCTATATTTGTATTCTCCCACTGTCACTGCATAATCTCGCCAATTTTTACGCATCCTAGATTGGTAATTTAGTCATGAGAGTAGTTTATGCGACTTGAGGGAGCTGAATTTTGGGGGATGGACGCGTGAAAAACGGGATTTTTCAGCGCCGTGGTGTTGCCGTTCTACGCTTGCTACAGTAGCCGTCTGGTCGCATTCGAAAGAGTCGCCCTTTTTCTTTCATATCCCGTGGCGCTTGTTTTCGTCCACTCAGTATGCACGCCGTGAATCCGCATTAAAAAAAAAGCCCCTGGCGCGTGAGCCTATTGGTGCGGCGAGCACACATGACTAAATCGCGCCTTCCGATTCACAGAGCCTCCCGTGCTGCGTGCGGCTATGTCTATTGAGCCTAAATTCGAATGTTCCGAACACATTTCTTAGTCGCGGTGGGTGATACGAACTTTAGTACAGGAAATCGTCGAACGAAGGCCGAGAGCAGCGTACTCAAAGCTTCGAAAGTACGCATGCAACCGGCGCACGCACTGCCTTCTACAGTGTGCGTGATTGTCGTTGCCACAACCGCTGTCCACGAAACCGTGGTCGCTTTTCACACGATCATGTATAACTTACAGAGTCCCGAAAGTGTGCGTGCGTTCAACGCTCAACCAGTCAAGGCAATGCTGCTTTCTGCAAACCCTGCGGACAAAACCGCGGCAGATGCGATCACATACGGCATAAAACAACTTTGTTTTGAAGGCGTGTGCGCAGTCAAGCGCACAGGGGTTGTGCGCTTCACTGCGCACAACCCCAAACGGGGCACTGTGGAATTACAATAGGTATGATGTGAGAAGAATATGGTAAGGGGTCGTGGTTCCTGGTCTGACGTTCGGCAATGCGGTTTTGTGCATGAGATCGGAAGTTCAAGCAAGATTAGAAATTAAGAAACGTGGAATAGGTAGGCTTGCTTTAGGAGCTCACGGGAATACGCCATATCAGGGAGTACAAGGTGATATGGGATGGACATCATTTAAGGGCAGGGAAGCTAGCAGCAAGATAAAATTTGAGAAGCGATTGAGAGAAATGGGGGAGGAGCATTGGGCTAGGAAGGTTTTCAGCTACTTGTACATGATGAATGTCTATACAAAATAAAGGAAGCGAACCAGGAATTGACGGGTAAGTACTTGGAAAACAGCACGGGGCCAAACCAAAAAGTACCTTCAGTTAAAAAGAAGGTGAAGGAAACAGACTGACATGTGCAGAATTGGCATGATTAAGAAGTCTGCACTAGAGATCTATCGAACTTTTAGGCAGGAAATTGCCAAGAAAAGGATGTATGATAATATTCAGGGTAGTTTTCTACTGTTTGAGGCCAGAAAAGGAGTTTTGCAAACCAAGACATATCGGGCCAAATACGAACGGGTAGACACGGTATGCAGTGCATGCGGAGAAGAAGGGGAAACTGCCGAACACTTGATAATGTTCTGTAAAGGGCTTCACCCTATCGTTCAGGATGATGGCGCAGAGTTTTTCAAAGCACTGGGGTTTAGAGACAGAGAGGGCAAAATAGACATTAAGTGGGTAGAATTAACTAGAAGGAGGTTATCTGATTTGTGGCTAAAGTCAAGGCACGACTGAAAATTAAACCATTCACTGCGAATTACCAGTCCTATACTTCGCTATTTAAAGGGAAAAAAGAAGATAAATCTAGTAGGTGGTTCACTAAGTATTACGGCTAGGTGGCGCTATCCGCCGCCCGATCTAAAGGGTACAGCCACATCAATCCATCCATCCAGCTCTGAGGGCACGCAGCGATAAACTAAAGGCAGTAAATGTGTAAAAAGAAAGTCACAGTTTCGTCGCAAGGGCGAAGCAATGAATGCGACAGCAACAACTTGGAATGTCACACTGAGACTGGCAAGCAGATCAAAACGCGCAGCGCGCTGCTCACCCACAAATGACGCACGAAAATAATACACACAAAACGAGAGCAAACTAACAATGTTTGCCACTCGACACGTAACACGCTGTTTAACGGAAAAAAAAAGCGATGCTCGATACATAATCAAAGGTACGGATGAGTACAAACTAACAAGTGTCCCAGTTATACCTCGCTGTGCATGAAAAGCGCGCTTTTTTCGCAAACGGGGCCTGTGCATAGACCGAAGATACCTTTGTGGGCACAGCTACTAACCCAATCGTTCCAGTGAAAGCCGAAGGCACACGATTCTCTCCACTGAAAGATGAGCGCGTGCGCACAAGCATTAACACCCCCCCCCCCCCCCCATCCGTGGGGCAAAGTATGCGTCAGAGATAAGCGCGCGTCGGCGCATTGCGATGAGCTGGGCACTGAGTGCGGGCAGCTTTTTTTTTTTTTCCTTTCTAGGGTGTTAATATATATAGATAAGCATACATATACGGTGAATGACGGCGGTGGTGGCGACGGCAAAAAAGCAGCCTACACTATCAATAACAAAGGGGCCATACGCGTTTTGCCGTTCCTGTCAAAAGAATCTAGTAGGGAGCAAAGCTTTGACCCACGCTTTTGCGGCAGCCAGCTGCGCCGTCTCTTCCGATCACGTGTGCCCCGGTAAGACATACACGAGCTCTTTTGAAGGGCATAAATTCTGCAAATTGTGTTCATCTTTTGAGATTCTCGCCTTATTGGGAAACCCTAGCTTCGTGTGTTCGGCCATTCCAAGCCGACCGCCCCCCTCTTGTTTTTCGCGATGTTTTTTTTTTTTTATTTCTCCTTGGGAGTTTTTTTTTTTTTTGTGCCGAAAGAAATAGGTACAAATAATTCAGTGCACCTCCCC